CCACAGAGCAGCTTCAGATTGCTGGAGGATTACCTACTACAACTCTTTAAAACAATCTCAGTCATGAGAATTTACAAGCATTCTGAGTAATCTCATTTGTGTATCGTTTTGATACTTGGATAATAGTTTGGTTACCACTTGATCAAGATAATTACTGAAAATTCTCTCCAGATCCAATGATAACAGATTAATCAGGAACATTTATTCTGTATAAACCTAACATATTGGAGTTATGGGTGTTGCAGTTTACTTTGGGTATTTATATGAATTAGAGCCAGTTTGGTATTATGGTTAAGACGAAAAAGGCAAAGACAAATCACTTCTGAATATCTTGCAAAAAAAAATGCTGGGACTTGGCTAGAGAGTTGTTATGTCAACAAAAAAATAGTTAATAAACAACCTAAAATTATTGAAGTAGGCCTCTGAATTGGGAGCTTTGGGCATAACTGCTCTTCTAGCATCCATTTTTTTTCTCAATGAATCAGCATAATGGGCTACCTAACCAGTTCATGAGGGTCTATAGTCATTAAAAAGTGACAACAATAACAAAATAAACCTACTAAGAGACATACAAAAGGGAGAATCAAGACCCATCCTTGGGGATCCAATTTTGAGTGGAGAATGATGATAAATAAGTTCTGGTCAGACCATGTACAAACCCATGCATGTTGCATGTGCATTGTGGAAATTAGGACATGAAGAGATGGTATTAAAGCCAATGTTGACTGAGAATCTAGACAGAACCTGATCTATGACTTGGGAAAGGCCCAGACAGGATTTCTATATATTTATATGGCCCAGTGGCTGAGAATTCAGAAGCTATGGTAGTTCCAGTATACTGGCTGATAAAATGAAGACAATAATTGAAATACTGTAATCATGACTGCCCGTTGGATTAAGATGACCTTCATGACCACTGCCATGCACTTAGTGAAAATGCTGAGTATAGATAACCGACTGAAAAACAACATTCTGAATTGCTAAGAAATGTTGCTGAACACAAACAAATGCTTTTGGGAAATAGCCACATGGACATAGATGTCACTTAAGTCTTCTGAGGAAAACTAACCCGAAACACTCTCATTCTGAATCTTGGTTGGATGTATTTGTTGAAAGCGGAGATCAAGTACTGGGCATGATCTTTCATTAATATTTAATTCCACAATATAAATAAAAGCAAGTTATGATGGAATAAACTTAATCGCTCCTTTCTGTGGCTGAAGTGAAATTGTCTTCAAAGAAATAAGATCAGATAGAAGACAATTATTCATGAACAGTCAGCAATATGTAATTGAAGGTGACTTCCTTCATAACCAAGAGTTATAATCTCTTGAGTCCCAGAACTGAACATATTTTTGACAGTGAAATCTGTTCAACTCAAAAGCAAATGACACAAAAGATGGAATACAATATATATTTTAAAATGTTGCTCTTCAAATGGGGATGCCATTCACTGTTCAAAAATCTCCTTCAATAACTTTTTTCTTAAAATTAATCATTAACTGGATTTTTTTGGGGGGGGCTCTTCAAGTCAGTGTTGACTTGTGATGATTGCCTGGACAAGTTTTTCAGAAATAGTTTGCCATTGTTTACTTTCTGGGTCTGAGAAAGAGCCCAAGATCATCCAGTTGGCTTTCATGCATAAGGCAAGGCAGGTGTAGAACTCACAGTCTCCTGGTTTCTAGCCTAATGCCTTAACCACTGCACAAAACTGGTTCTCTAATTTATTACTAAGTGGTCATTAAAACATTGGGAAGACAGTGAGAATAGCATTCAGAAACAAGCATAGGAAGAGTCCCCTTCCTTTTAAAAAATGTTGAATTACAGAAGATTTATGATGGCCTATGGCTGCAGGAACTGCTCACATAATTATAATTACGAATAAACAGCCTGTTAATCCTCTCCTTTCTGCAGCTACCTGGGGAAAAAAATCCTGAAAATCTGTAGAGATTTGGGGGAAGTCTCATTAACCCTCTGCAAAATACCACATGTTATTCAGGATCAGAAAACATCTCTCCCAACTTTTTTGTGGAGGGGGACAAATATCTTGAAAAGGAGGTATAAGCATATGACCTTACATAATCTACCTTGTTTCAGAAAATTCCTCTGATACCATCCCACATGGTTGAGGAATTATTCCCACGAACAAGCCATCAACTCTCCAGAGATATTTTGCAGGACAGAGAGCAGGAAAGTTCTTCTTTAACTTTGGTTCCAAACTTATTTTATTTTATGTAATATACAGTAGATAATCTTTCTGACACATTTAGAAGTGTAATATATATAAACCACCATTCTTGGTTGCCTGTCTAGATTTTAAAATATTTCAAGTTAATTAAGATAATATTGGTTCCATTTTTATTTAAGTGTGAAAAGTCTTTATATATATATATATATATATATATTTATATATACACATATATATATATTGGATAACTGTACAAATAACACAATTCCATTTTAACCATAAACAGTTATCACCACAGTTGAGTGCTATCAAATATTTTATTTACAAAACAATTATTAAAATGCCTGATGCCAGATTTTCTTGTAATATCTTACCCATAGGGTAATAAGTCCACCATAATTACTAGGTGCTTTTTATATAATACAGAAGTATAACACCCTATGTTAATAGTTCTTCTACAAAAAAAATCACAAAGAACTATGAATTTGACCAAATATACCAATGAAAAATAAGGCTCAAAAATACAATTTTTCCTTACTTTACATAACACAGAATAGGTTTAAAAAGGCACAACTTTGAGATTTGTATAAATGTAAGGAGTTGTCTTGGCAAAGGAGCCTAGGATCAGGTTTTATAAATGGGTTGTCATCTTTTATAAGTCTCACATAGCATTCACTTTCGTTTTGCTCTCATAAGGTTCTTACCATAGCAGTTGTCCCATAGCAGCCCAAATAGCTCTCTTCTTGAATGCTTTTGTGCTAATTTCCATAGTCTTAATGTCCAACATCAAGACTTTGATAGATTCTATTTAGGAATCTTCCACTCATCCCAATAAACCAGGGATGTCAAACTCGTGTCATCACGGTGGCATCACGTGACAAATTGGGACTTCCCCCCCTTCGCTAAGCCTGGTGGGGGTGTGGCCAGCATCTGGCCTGCAGGCTGTGAGTTTGACATCCCTGCAATAGGTTATCCAACTACAAGCTATGCTTTAGATGAGTGTTTCTCAATCTTGGCAACTCCCAGAATTCCCTAGATCACCAGATTGGTTTACCAGCAACTTCAGAGGAAAGAAGACCTAGAGATGTGCCTGGGGTCAGGTGGAAAGCAATATGAAGTTATGGAAGGAAGGATTTTACTAAGGCTTATGTTAAACATCCATATGTGAGCTGCTCAGTAGGAGTGGATATTTTTTCCCTACCTGGTTTTTACAATACATTCCTTCTTTCACACACACAGTAATGTTCTGTGGATATGGGGCAACATCCCTTGTAATTAAGGATGCATTACCTTTAATAACCATAGAGTAGTATAAATACTGATAACATAATACAAAACACAGCAATTTAAGGCAGTGATAATTCAATGCTAAACATCTTTTTTTAAGATGACAATTATTTGATCAATAGGAAAGTGCACCATGATATAAAGGTACAACTGAAATTCACCTAACATAACCAACATGCTGCTTTAAAAAGCCTCAGATATCATTAGAAACTGAGAACAACAGTAATAACTCTGGAAAAGCCAGTGAAGGTTTTTAAAGAGAAGCAAAAAACTTATTTCATTTTCCTCTAGTAAAATTTTTCTCATTCCAATATGTTTTCCTTAAAGATCATTTACAAAGTCTCAGTGAGAAAATATGGATGCTGATCAAACACTGCATGTCAGATATCTTTATAAATTTCAGATATGTAAGCCAGTATTATAATCACTGCATTACAGATTGTGTTCCATGATGCCATTACTTGCATGACATGTGACACTTCGATGCTGCAGGAGAAACTAAGAAGAGCAGTGACAGGAAGGAGTTATTTTCCATTTTCTCTTGATTGCACTCCCTCCTGATCTGCTTTTCTAAATGGGGACTACCTACCTTCCACTGAGAAGCTAAAACAAGCATATGGAACAAGCATATGAAAATAAGTATTTACTTAGGGGGAAAGCACTGATAGCCTTCTCTTGCCTGCCTATAATGCACTTCAAAATCTTATCTATTTTTTTAAATAGAAGAAATGGAAGCAATCTGGTTTTAACTGTGGGCTTGTTTCTGGCCCATAGGAAAACTGGGTGCTTCTCAGTCAACACTTCTAGCTGTTAAATTGTATAAGTTGATAATGATAAAATGCTAAATCATACGCTGAAAAATAAAGCATGCCCACCTCACTATAAGATCTCCCACATCTATCTTGAAGGTCTAGAGGTTTTTTAACCGTGTTAATAGCTGCATTTGAAGAAGGATTTCAAGAAGCTCCACGCAGTTTTAACAACAACAAAAAAAAACTGGACTCAAGTCAGGAAAATGAGAGGATTCTTTTTATGGTAGCTTAGTATAATGTAGATTATTAAATCAAGACTTTTTTTTTTTAATGACCAGACTGGATGATTTTAAAGTCCATTTTGTTTCCATGGTGTTCTGAGGAATATAGGCCTGTCTGATGCAGGTAAGTTCAACTGCAGTTGTAGGTTTATGAACAAGCAAAGCAGGTGGAGAACATTCAGTGATAACTGAGATGACAACTAACTTGGGGCAGATTTTAGCATGTAGAGAAAGACACAAAATGAAAGACACACCTTCGCCTACATAATGCTAATAGCAGCACTAAAATCTTGCTTGTTTGGAATAACCATTGCACTGGCCTAGAGCAATAAAGCATGCCATGTTTATAGTCATGTGCCCAGGAGATTTCCCGTCTTCATAGTCATTACCAATGTCAACATAAGACTTCCGTTACTCTACTAACAGGCATATAATTTTTTTGTCTGTGTTTTTTTATTAAATATGTAGGATTGATATTATTACCAGTCGTGTTTATTTTGCCCATCCTGTGGTTGCTTCCCCATTGATGTAGGCAAAGCCAGGAAAGTGTTGCATGTGCTCATATTCAGAATTTCTCCGTGTGGTTAATGGGGTGTACATGTCACTGGAATTTCCATATCTTGTGGAATGCATTGGTGGACTTGTATAACAAGGGTTTGCCGAGGGCACCTCTGGCCAGCGAGGTGTAACTGGAGATGGATGCAATCTTGAGGTGCTGCTCATCAAACAGGGCTCCATCCGTGAAGACGGGCTATTGAAAGGGTACTACAGACGCAAAAGTATATTGTTAAAACATTTATCATGCAATTATATTTCAGATTCCTCTCCCCCCCCTCCCAGAAAAGAAATAAATAAGATGCAAATTCTGACAAAACTGTCTCCTTAACTTTTTATGGTGGGAAATACAAAAATCTGTGATTGTGCAAGGGAAAACAAAGTTGGTCTAGGAATTTTAACCCAGTATACAATACATCTATACCTTCTCCATGAAATCAGCAAGCATAAGATAAATAATAAAACAATTGTTATTGCAATTAATATAAAATAAACATTTCTCTCATTGTATCATAAACTATCACACATTGTACAATTGTAGGCAAACATTTTGGCACACCTAGTTACACTGAATGTTTTAATGAATTCCTAAGTGAAAAGTTCCTGATCTTGCAACTAAAGTAAGGTGAAAAATCAAGCAGATAGGCTGTAAATTCTATGGTATGGGAATAAGCCTTGATGTGAAATTATTTTTTTCATTCACAGTTTCCACCTTTACTCCAGACCCTTTTTGCTTCAGGTTTCAGGCTTACCTGAAACCTGTATCTTCTCACTTGGAAACCATATTCTTTATTTCTAAATGGGGAAAAAGGCCTAGTTAAAAAAAAAGATTTTTCAATGAGATATATTAAAATTTGCTGAGTCATTTCTAGATGGAAACCTTATATGGACTTTTTTGCTGAAAGAAGAAAAAATGAGTTGAGGATTAAAAAAGATGTGGACAAAGTGAGGGCTTGAAGGAATTTGTAAGATATATAGGAAGGAGGATTATAAGATTGTGTTTGTTGAAGAGAAGGACAGAAGTTGTATTTCATAACTTTGGTTTTTTTTACAGCCCCTTTTTCCTTCTTTCCTATTTTTTTCTTTAAATTTGGCTTTTAATGTGTACAAAATTTTCAATATAAATAAATAAATCATTTCTTGTATCGTTCATTGAGGCATGATGCAAAGCATAATACTGGGGCAAGAGGGACCATGGCTTCCTAGATCATGTTCTACATTACCTATGTGAAGGGCTATTGGCAATGGATGGACTGCACCTCACAAGAACTGGAAATAATATATTTGGAAAACAACTGGCTCATCTTATCAAGAGTTTTAAATTAAAATTGAGTGGGGAAGAGGGCCAATCTTCATGACCTTTAGAACCCAGTTCCAAGTAAAAACCACTAGATAACTAATCACATAAGGAGGTAGGGAATAAAGAGAAAGAAGAAATAAAAGAAAAAGAAAAACATATTGAAGTAGAGAGTGATGGAAAGGATGGAAATCCCAATTACAAAGTAGGAGATATAAGAAACATATCCAAGACCCATGAAGGATTCAAATGCCTATACACTAACACTCAAAGTTTAGGAAGCAAACAGGGTGAACTTGAAGTATTACTACATGAAGGCAGATATGGTATAGTTGCCATTACTGAAACGTGGTGGGATAAAAACTCTTTCTTCTCATTGGCAGTACAGATTGCCAGACCAAAAAAGAATCTCCTTAAACATCAGCATAGATTCGATGATCCACCATTCCTTGTTTTATTTAACGTTCTGAGGCAAACAAGTCCAGGCAAAACGGAAAGGCTAATAAATAACTGTAAAAACCAGGGGAGGGGGGACACAGTGAGTTGTTTCTCTGTGTAGCCAACCCTGTCACTCCCCCCGTTGATGCAGCTGCATTTATGAATGTGTCATGAATATAAGAAAGAATAACCACTGGAAAATAATATGGCATTGCAAATATGTAGTATTTTTACAATAAAATCTGTGACGGCTGAAGCTCCAGCATGGAAAGATTTGTACGGGTAGGTCAGCTAATTGCAAATGAGTCAGGGACATTTCCCCCCCTTCCAGTGAAGAGACTATTGAGAAACAATATTTTTAAAATCCGCCTTGGATCCTGCCTCCCTATTAACTCCACCAGTGAAGCATCTATTCAGCCTTGTTGGAGTGTCCGAGGCTTCACCATCTGCGCGGATGCCTGCCCAAGAAGCCTGAATCACCTTTCACACTCTGCATCCGGTTTAATGAAGAGTGCTTAAGCACGCTGATCTCAAAACACTGGGGCCGAGCGATCTTCGCCTAGTATAAAGGGGACATTTGTTGGAGAGCTCTTGACAGGAAATTACCATTTTCTGGGTCAACTCACTTGCCACCCCCATGTCATTAAACCTTGACAAGAAACACTGGCCCTTTTAAGTTGGGGTGACTTTAAGCTGATTATTGTTAAGGCCCTTTCTCCCCCAAATTTGAAATGAGTTCTAGTTCTTTCCCGTTATTATTTTAGAAAATGCTATTTTAAGTTCTCTTCCACCCAACAAGATTGAGTTCTTGAAGATCAGGCTGAAGAACAATATCTTTCTTCTTATCCTTCAGCTTCCTGGTTGATTATGCAGAATGAAAAGTGTCTCTGTTCAAAGCCAAAATATTTTCCTTATGAATGCAATGCTTAACATGATAAGAGTTTTGTTTATATTTTAGAAAATCTGATCTAAAGCAAAATATTGCTTTCAAATATTTAACCTTACAGAGTTGTAATATATTTCACTGGTCTTTTAAAAATGCACATTAGGTATGGAATGTATGATGTAAAATTAAGACATGATATAGATTTTTTAAAAAAATTGATGGCTTTATATATAATATTACAATCCTTGTTTTCCATGTCAAATGCTTTTTCATCTTTCACTTAATATACAATATCATGGGATTATTGAAATTCAGATTGAAACCAAATTTATTGGTTATTTCAGAAGACAGCCATGTTGGTCTAGTGGTTAAGGCAGCAGGCTAGAAAGCAGAAGATTGTGAGTACTGACTGGATGTCTTTGGGTCATTCACTCTCAGCCAATTCATCTCACAGAATTGTTGTGGAGAAAATAGCCAGAGGAAGGAATATTAGATGTTTGCTGCCTTATTTATAAAAATAACAATAATGAAAGTAGGATTAAAAAATTAAAAATTGTGCTCTAGCTCAGGATACAGTCCTCTTCTGTCCTGTTACTGCCCTCTCTCAGTGCCTGGAGGCTGTGGGAGTCATCTTTAATTCTGGATGTGGTCACACTACCCAAGATGGATCCAGTCTGCAAATTGGAGGTTCTCCTGGATTTGTGACTCCTGCTGAAAAAGCTAGGAGAGCCTTTGTAAAACTTCAGGTTGTGTGGCAGTTGCAGCCTTTCCTGGATCAGCGTCCTTGCACTTAGTCATTCAGTCACCTCACAGCTGGACAACTGCAATGTGCTGTCTGTGGGGCTACCCTTGAAGAGCATTCAGAAGCTATAGCTGGCGCAGAATGTGAAGGTGCAGGCAGTTCTTGGGGCCTCAAGAATGGCCCATGTAACATCAATACTTCATGAGGCACATTGAGTGCTGCTCTGCTTCTGGGTGCAATTCAAGGAGTTGGTAATCACATTTAAAGCCCTTCGTGGCATGGGTCCAGGCTATTTGAGGGACTGTTTTGTCCAAAGGTGGTATTCAGCACGTTCTGACCAGTTCTGGAGAACTGGTAGCAGAAATTTTGAGTAGTTCAAAGAACCGGCAAATATTACCTCTGACTGGAGATTTTACACTATCCTTCCCCTGCCATGCCCACCAAGCCACGCCCACATAACCGGTAGTAAAAAAAATTGAATCCCACCACTGGTTTTGGCCCACCCCTCAGTATAAATATTGTACTGAGACTTAGATTAGCTCCATACAAGAGGGAATTTTTTCTACTGGAGATCATACGTTTTTATGGAAGAACAAAGGTCAAAGTAGGGCAGGTAAAAGGGTGTTTTAATCTGAAGAAAAGTTTTTTTTATTTATGTTTTAACAGTGTTAACCTAAATAAAGAATTTTAATGTGTTTTTCTACCTCTTGGTAGTATGAAATCATGACAGAAGAGTCATACTTCCAGCTGTCATCAGATTGCAATACTTAGGGGAAAGGCACACCTATCCTATCTGACCTGAAATATGTCCTTAGGAATAAGTGATCCTATTTTAAAGTGCTTAAAGGTGATGATAAGCACATTCAATTATACCTGGAAGCCAGTGCAGTCTGTGCAACAGAGGTGTTACAAGGGCAAACCTAGCTTCCCTCCCCAATTACTTTGTACACTGCTGCATCCTAGACCAATTGAAGTTTGCTGGTGGTCTTTAAGCATGGCTCATTTAGAGCACTTTGCAGTAATCCAAATAGGAGGTGACCAAGGCATGAGTCACAAGAAGGCCTCCCCATTCAGAAAAGGGTGCAATTGGTACACCAAAATAAATCTGTCCAAAGACCATCTAGCTACGACTGCCACCTGCTCCTTGAGCAGGAGATGTCAGTGCCCTAGGGAACAACTCCCTGAAACTCAGCAGGCCTCTACCCTCCTAGCCTTCTCTAAAGCTCTGAAGACGTGGCTTTTTCTCCCTGAACGAGAATAAAATGAGATGACTGCATACCAGAAGTTTGCCTTGGCATTTTAATGTTTTATGATTTTAGTTTTAGTTTTATGATTTTATCATGGATTTATGCTGTTTTAACTTTTGATTGAGAGCTGCTCAGAGTTGGTTATAAGATAGGTGGACATATAAGTGTTTTTTAATAAATAAAATGTTATCAATTTTAATAATTGCACTAGAAGGGACCACATAAAAGATTTTAAGAGCTCAATGTAATTTTGGAGCCATAGGTTGACCCCCTGGTTTATAAATCATTACAGCTGGGTTCATGCAATAGTCTAAGCTGAAACCAAATGAATCTCAGTATAGCTTTAAATGATCTCTGGATGCCAAGACAAACTCCTTTATCTTTACAACTTGAATGCACATGGGTTATTTAGTCAACTTGTTTATATCTTTTCCTCCCTATCTGTTATGCTTGGCACTTGATCTTTTTCTGTGCTTTCCTGTGCTTTTCAGGTTGAAAATAACAGGTGAAGTATTGCTCATCATCAAGCCAAGAAAGGTTTTTTTCTGTTAAATTTTTACAAGGCTCCTAATTAAATCATGGAGGCGTAAACCCACTGGGCGAAGTAGGTTTGCCCAAAGGGAAACAAGCAAAGAAAAATTTAATTTTAGGGTTAATGTTGCTCAAACATTAGCGTAAAGTCTCAGAGATGCTTTGTTGTAAGTTGTATATTTTGTCCCCAAGGAAACATGACCAGCACATGCGATACAAATAACTTCAACAAGGTGAAAGATGCAAGTGCTCTGAACCTGTGAATTCTCCCATTCATGCTCCATTAAAAGGAAAGAAAATCATGTTTTGTTCACTCATACATTTTATTTTGCTCAAAAGGAGTAAACCACTGTGGAAAATAAAATAAGCACATCAAACCTAAGTTCCTCTTTAGAAGTGTAATTTTTTTTTACTGTTCATAAATGTTACAAGGATATAGTCTGCATTTGTCAGAACTTTGTCAATTTTTTTTATCAACTAACAAACTTAAAAGCAAATGAATAATCAAACACTGAGTGGGCACATGTGAAAAGGGGCAGAGTTTGATCTTGTGGCCATAGCTACAACCACCCTGGTTTTTTGAAACCACTTCTTGTGGCTGCCCTGATGGATGTTTCATTTAACACAGGGTTCCCCAACGCCTGGTCTATGGACCAGCATTGATCCATGGCATGCTAGAAACAGGGCCGCACAAACAGGCGAAGCCCCATCCGCGCATGAAACCAGAACCCCTCTGGTCCGCAGAAAAACCTCTCTCCGCGGAACTGGTCCCTGGTGCCCAAAAGATTGGGGGCCACTGATTTAACGTAATGAGCTAAAAGATTGATGTGGAGGGATGGACACTGACCTGTGAAGAGTTTCTGTGATAAGCTGAGTAATGGAGAGGTGCAGAAATAGTGCTGTCGTGTGGTAAAGATGGATACTGGCTCTGCATCGGGTGGGAGTGCTGGTTTCCATAAGTACCATAGTTGTAACTTCCTGTGTACCTGGAAAAAAAAACAGAAGAATCTTGGAACTGTACTTCATACAATAATCTGTTCCCCAAACTGAGGCTAATCAGAGAAGCCAGTTTGGTCTAGTGGTTAGGGTACCAGTCTAGAAAGCCAGATACAGTACTATGAGTTCAACTCCCACTTTAATCACAAAAGCTGGCTGGGTGACTTTAGGCCAGTCATTGTCTCTCAGCCCAATCCACCTTACAGGGTTGTTGTGGTGTGGAAAATAGGAGGAGGAAAGTGTGTTGGAGATGCTGCCTTGAATTATTTGAAAAAAATAATAATAATGGTAGGATATAAATTTAAAAATAGTTCAAAGGGACAATGCTAAGGATGGACTTTTTTAAAAAAGTATTAACCTACCCATGCTCTTCTCTGGGGTGATAAACAGGTATCCTGTGTGTCACAGATGAATGAGGAACGTGAGGACTTCTCATGCAAGGCAGCGGTTGAGAGTTTTCAGCAGGTGATCCAGCAGCTGTAGTTACAGTATATGTGAGAGACCATGTATAGGACTGCATGGCCCCTACGTAAAGCAGAAAGGGTCAGTTAGCTTCAAAATAACTTTATCATCTCCACTAAAATCAAATGCAAGGATGTGCTGTAGATCTTGCAGATTCCTAATGATGGAGGAGGAGGGGGAGGAGGAGGGGGACTTAAAGTTTCAGGGTTGGACACTCCTGCTTTACAGGATTCAGTATTAAGAGTGCAACTGGGGTCAGAATGAGGAAGAGAGGATTGCCAATGTAGCTCTTCCTTGTAATAGTTAGTTTTGTCTCCAGAGAGATTCTTGCAAATTGTTCCCAGAAGATGACCTAGGGTACAAACTCACACTCAATCCTAGCCTAAGTGGCTATGGATTTTTGTCTCCCCCAGGATTTTTGCTCTTTAGTCCTGGACGACTGGTGCACAGTCTTGGGGATCATCTTATCTCAATAACTCAAAGAATAGGTGGCCACAGCGGCCAAGACAGTCCTTGCCAGTTGTGCCCATTTTTTGATCAGGAGGCTCTCCAAATGATAACTCATACCTAATCCTCTCACAGATAGATCACAGTCAGTGGTGGGATTCAATTTTTTTTTACTACCGGTTCTGTGGGCGTGGCTTGGTGAGCATGGCAAGGGAAGGATATTGTAAAATCTCCAGTCAGAGGTGGTATTTGCCTGTTCTCCGAACTACTCAAAATTTCCGCTACCAGTTCTCCAGAACTGGTCAGAACCTGCTGAAAACCACCTCTGATCACAGTATTGTGCTTTACATGGGACTAAGACAGTGGTGGGATTCAATTTTTTTGTACTACTGGTTCTGTGGGCGTGGCTTGGTGGGCGTGGCAGGGGAAGGATACTGTAAAATCTCCAGTCAGAGGTGGTATTTGCTGGTTCTCTGAATTACTCAAAATTTCCACTACCAGTTCTCCAGAACAACACTATTCCGAGAGCAGCACTGGTTAATCTGAGTGCAATTTAGAGTGGGTTATAACCTATAAAGCCCTTCCTGGCATAAGGTCTGGTCTTTTGAGGAACAGTGCTGTCTCCCATGGTTTTTGCCCATTTGGTAAGCTTGGATAGATTCAGTGTCACAAAGGTGCTTTTTCAAGAGGCAACTGGACTTTCTGTTTTTTTCTTCGAAGACGTTTTGCTTTTTGGATGAGAAGTGAAATGTCATCAAAGAAAAAAAAAACGAAAGTCCAGCTGGTGCTTTTTGTGTGTGTGTGTGTGTGTGCTTTTTTGCACCTTTGGGGCAACCATGATCTGGATGACTGAGAACCTCCATAGACAATGTAAGCCACACAGAGTTGCCTACAGTTGGGTAGAATCTAAATTTTGTTAATAACTCAATCAGCAAATCCCATCCCTGATCTGCCTCCAGTTTTATTCAAGGGATTTGCTATGGTCTTAAAAATAAAGATAAATTTTTCAGCCCTATGTCTACTAATTCACTGGTGCTACTCAGTGGTGGGATTCAATTTTTTTTACTACCAGTTCTGTGGGTGTGGTTTGGTGGGTGTGGCATGGCATGGCTTGGTGGGTGTGGCTTGGTGGGCATGGCAGGGGAAGGATACTGTAAAATTTCCATTCCTTCCCCACTCCTAGGGGAAGGTTACTGCAAAATCCCATTCCCTCCCCACCCCACTAACCAGCTTTCCAGCTCCATTCTCTTGTGCAGGGCAACCAAAGAAGACCCAGCCAATCAGCTGGGACTCGAGAGGCAGAGAATAGATGGGGGCGAGGCCAGTCAGAGATGATATTTGGCGGTTCTCCAAACTACTCAAAATTTCTGCTACTGGTTCTCCAGACTGGTCAGAATCTGGGGAATACCACCTCTGATGCTACTGATGATTGGATAGTCTTAAAGAATTCTATTTCTCATTCTGTATAAATTTGGGGTGTAATGAAAACTTCTTCCTCCCTTCCCCCTCACAATTTTAGGTCAACATTATCCTTTCAAAGGTCTATAAACAAACAGTTCTTCTTAACCTTACCAACCTGTGGTGGTTGCTAAGCCAGCATACTCTGGGGATTGACTGGTTATAGGAGAGGGAACGGATGGAACATCCACTGAGGTGGCAGATTTCGCTGGAGAGAAAGCAACAGGGGAGGGACTCGATGGGACAGGATCTGCCACTATGGTATCTTCTCGTACTTCAACTGCAGCCAGGAGAAAAAGGAACAGAAAATATAAACATGAGAATTATATCCCAGGATTCTTTTTTCTGTGTTCATTATTTCTTTTTCTAGGATGCACCTCTTCAATAAAATTGTAAACCAAGGGTCTTCAAACTTGGCAAGTTTAAGACTTGTGGACTTCAACTCCCAGAATTCCTGAGCTAACAT